CCATGGAGCATCCCATGTGTAGGATGTTGCTGGAATGACATTTTGATACTTTAATCAGTGATCTTCCTTTCTCAAACCAGATCGCAGCCCTTCCACACCTTCTCATCCTATGTGAATCTTGTCAATCTTGTTCTCTGACTAGGCTATCTCAGAGTAGTGGGTTCCCTCATCACTAGGGGTTTCAGTTGAAAGCTACAGATAGATTTTTTTTTCAGGTAGGTTGTTGAGAGAATTCTTGTAATGATAAACTTTGCTAAGTTCAAAACTTCCTTCAAGCTTGGAAATTTTGGGATTCTGTGTGAAACCACTGTAGAGGCTTATAGGGGCCTTCTTTTAGGTTAGGGATTCTTAACCCAGAATCCATTAACTTGATTTTAAACAAAATTATGATAATTGTATTTCAAAATGCTGGTTTCTTTGTTATTCCTACATGTTTTATTTTTTGCATCTAAAAAGAATTTTTCATAGAATGGGTCCATAAGCTTTACCACACTTCCACCAGAAGGGTCCATTGCACAAGAAAAAGAGAAGAACTCATGGTCTAGGCCTGGAAATAGCTCTTCGATGACAAACTGTACTGCCTTCAAATTGATCATTGATGACGTTAGGCCATTTTTATGGCACCAGCCTACTTCCTGTTCTGCACGTACAGGTTCTTGGTGACCTTTTGTATACTACTTGTTGAGTAAAGATCCCTGTGACTAGTATATTATTGGCTAGTCCTGTGCCTGGCACAGAGAAAGGGCTTAATAATTACTTGTTGATTGATTAATTACATTCACCATTCTTATTTCCATTGCCTCATAAGTCACCCACAGTGTCTTCTGAGATCTTCATTTTCCATGTTTGATAGTCAGCTAGCATTTCTGGGAGAAGGTTCATGTGGAAAAGATAGGGTGATGTGCAATTTCCCAAGTGAGACCCTGCTGTTCTTATTCTCCAGGTCGAGATGCAGCCATTGTCCACATATGGTGTCCATCCTTGACATGTGCAATGATTACTTTACTGGCCTGCCTATCCAACTGTATGTCAACCTAACTTGTAAAATAGGCATGTTGTCTAACTTATATGTCGATTTTTGCCCATGGCATGAATGCTCTGCACCTTCACTATTGCCTCTTAGAATACCTATCTTTCTTCAAAGTTCAGTTAAAATGTCACTTTGTATATGAGGTTTTTTTTCCCTCAATTGCTACTGTTTTCCTCCCAAAAAAGTACTCTGCTTTGGGTTGTGCGTGTATATATAAATATGTGTGTATTACACAAATTACATACCCATGTGCACACATATACACATCCATATGTGTATGTGTGTGGGGGAGTTCAAATCTTGCCTCAGACACTTAGTAGCTGTGTGACCCTGGGCAAGCCACTTAACCCTGTTGACCTCAGTTTCCTCATCTATAAAATGAGCTGGAGAAGGAAATGGTGAACCACTCCAGTATCTTTGCCAAGAAGACCCCCATGACTGAAACAATTGAACAACAACAAAATTCATCCATACATACAGGTTTTCCACTAAATGCAAGTTTTTTAATGATTCTATCCATTCCATCTAGGATAGTGCCAGGTATAGAATTGGAACTTGAAATTATTTTATGATTAGTTGGTTGATTCTTCATCCAGTTAGGCTACCCTGTGTGACTTGCTGGGTCAATCTCTTTTGAGTAGCCCTAGATCTGGATTAGAAGGCTCTGCAGTATTCTAGGCCTTGAGACAAAAAGCGTAGATTTATCCAGAAACAGGGACATCTGGACAACCTCACTATCTATAGAAAATCTCCCTTCCCTTTGGGCTCTGCACAAGATGCCCTCCGTGGGAGGAGCCAACTCCCTTTGTTTTTCTGTGGTATTCCTTGTTTGACAGTGGTACTTTTTCTTTCATTATCTCCTTGGTCATTTCTATGAACAACTCTTTTATGTTCTTTACTTATGCATGGGAGATATGAGCATTGCTGTAGATGTGCCTTTACAAAGGAACTTGGTCTTGTTGAGTTGAGTAGTTGCAATGATGAGAAGGAAATTGGAAGGATGGGAAGAAAAATCATCTTATAAATATCTCAGCAATTCTGAGATTGGAGCAAGGTCACTTAGTCATAGAGTGCTTTCTGGTCCTGTTGTACTATCTTTCTCAGTTGTCAGCTTACTTCATGTTTCCTGCAGTGAGTTGGGAATGTTTAGTTATTCTTTTCTTTTTAGAGAGATTATCATGTCCTTGTGTACTTCTAGAGGATGAGGCAGGGTGAGGAGGAGGAAGGTAGGACAAGGCATTCAGGTACATCTTAAAGCCAGGATTCTGATCAGGTGTGGTCTTGACTCCTTTTTCAAACATTTACTTATAGATTTCTCAACTTGAGGATTATTGCCAGGTCTTTCTTTCTACCATTGTTGATGACATATTTTCATGTCTTCTAAAAACCAGTGCAAGTTAATGTTTTAGAAAAATACTTTTGACATAGACCTCACAGTCTCCTCTTCAACCACGGATGTGACATAGGAAAGTTAATCCCATGGCACGTACCTGAGCTATATTTGTGGCTCTCCAGGTTGTGTGGGAAGGGTTTTTAATCTGGTCTATCTTTGGTGATATGTATGCCTGGGGAAAGGGGTGGTGAAGTGATCCCTTAGGGAAAGTGAATCATATCAGATAATCACCCTGAGCTTGGCCCTGGGAGTCACCACATTCCAAGGTCCAAAGCCAGTTCTCTCTCTTGTTAGGCAAATGTTCATTTCCCTGAGCTCACTCTCAATGCTCCGTGGCCTGTGCTGGCTCCCTACTCCCTCTGACACTTAAAACTCTTCATAAGCCAGGCCCTTCTACCATTCTGGTCTTCTTCTACCTAACTCCTTCTAAACATTTTATGATCCAGCCACACTAGCTTTCTTGCAGTTCCTTGAATACAGCACTCCATCTCCTATCTGTCCCTTATGTATGGATTCCTCTGCCCCCTCACCCCAGCCTCTAAGTTCAATCTCACCTCCTAAAGGAAGCTGTCCGTGGTCCTCCCAAACACTGATGCCTCTGCCTAACATTACCTTTCATCTATTCAATATAGTGGGCATACTGTTTTAAAATGCATTAAGACTTTCAGGACATCCTATTTATCTTGTATTCTGTGCTTAGACCTATGTATAAGTTATGCCTCTCCCCCAGAATGCGTGTTTTCGACTTTATTTGTGTCTTCAATGCCTGGCATCATGCCTGATACAGAAATGCCTGGGGACTCATTAGTTGAATCAGTGAACGAACATGAAGCAATTATGGTTTGTTAATTTTCAGTATGTGAGGAATTGATGAGTAAAATCTGCAATCCTCTCAGGACTCTCACTCTTCACCATGTTTTTGAGCCAGTTGGTGATTATTTTACAAACTTCTGCAAGCCCAAGTTCTGTTCAAAGCATTAGTGGTGTCGGCTTCTGTCTTGTTTGACTCCACAGGCTTTCATGAGACTTTGATGAATAGAGAAAAAACCAGTCATGATGCTCTGCCCCAAAAAGATGCTTTCCCTGTTTCCTTCCTCCCATTTCATTGACATGTCTCTACCCTTAACATTTTCACCTTTTCACTTTCTTAAAAGTAGCCTGGAAAAAATAGGGCAAATCTCTATAAAAGTTGTTTAAAGGAGAACAAGGCTATTGACTTCTACAAAGGCTATGATGGTGTAAGTGAAAAGTAGCCCCAAAGGCCTAATTTTGCCCCCAGGGAAGAGATAAGGAAGCATCTCTCTCAGAAGTTAGGCAGGGATGGACTGGAGGTACAAAATGTGGCATACACTGGCAGACTCAGCTACTGGGAAGGGTTTCCTCCACGAGGTACTTGAGAGCAAGCATGTTTTCATTTTGGTACTAGTATCACTAAGGCCCAATGCAGTGTGGGGTGTATTAAATGGGGAGTAACTGTCATTTTTTTTGAAAGAAGGCAAAATCTACCAGAATATGCAGAATTCTGCACTTCTGATCCATCCCTACCTGACCCCAGAGAGAGGTGCTTCCTTATCTCTTCCCTGGGGCCCAAATTAAGCCTTATAAAGATTCAACATCTGGCTCCCTTGGTGTGTTCTTTACATTTACATTATTATAGCCTTTGTACAACTCAGTCTCCTGGTTCTCCTTCCTCCTTTAATCAACTTTGAAAGAGATTTGTCTGTTTTCTTTTTTCCAGGTTATTTTTAGAAAAGAGAAAAGGTGAAAATTTCAAGGATAGAGACATATCTAAATGAAATGGGAGGAAGGAAACAGGGAGAATTTGGGAGAGAATGAAAGGTAGCTTATGTCTGGAAATAATTTATAAAACTGAAGTTAGCAACACGATTCAGTTTATTTTTCTTTAAGTTTAAGCAAACTAAATTTCTCTAAAACTCAGAATTTTACAACTGGGTATTCTTATATTCTTGGTTTTCAGAGACATTTAAGATGATAATTTATTTGGGGACTGTTGGGATCCATACTGAATTGAATATTCAGGATGAACTCCTTAACTTTGTGCTCCTGCAATTTACAGATATTATTATCTGCAAATTCTATTATTAGAATGTTAAATTATTATAAGATAATTTTATATTAAATTATTATATTATTATTGACAATTTCTTATGGCGGTTAACATCAGATGTGGGATCCTTGTGGAAATTTTTCGCTGCTTTTTCCTTTTTGCAAGGAATATTGTTCACAAGTTGATGTGCATAAAAATGCCTCGGTAAATCCCATATTTGTGGCAATTTCATGTTTCACGCTGAAAGTTTTCCTTTCCATCTTTCTGTGTTTCTAAGGGACTTTGAAGAGAAGTATCATCTGTGTTAATTTGTAGAGGCCTCCTCCCCTCCATAGGCACAGTGGAATGATGGGGACAGTCTCCCGGTGGCCTGAGCTCTAGCATTGTTAATGAAAGTTAAGTTACAAATTGACCCATTCGAAAAATGTAAGTGTAGAGCAAAATGACCATTTGGCTTCTCTGTTCCCATGGAGTTGAAATTGCTTTAAAACTTCGCCACTCTCTTCCAGATGCTTTCCAAGTCCATTGAGCAACTGAAACAGCCAGGAAGCCAATTGGAAGAATCGGAAGAGGAGCTTCATGGAGACCAGCCCATGCAAGAAGACCGGGCTCCCTCCAGCACCAGCAGTGTTCGGAGTGACAGCAGCTTGGGCCCAGATGACGGCCAACGGGGACCCCCCTTGGGGGCTGTGAAAATAAAAGAGGAACCCCTGGACAGTGACGATGATACTCAGCCCCAGCAAATGGAATCTGGGGAGCAGGCTGCTTTGGTACAACAGGTAATAGGCAAGGATTTGGCGCCAGGATTTGTAATTAAGGTTATTATCTGAACACCAAGCTCTGCCCACGATTAGGTCACGGAAAGAGAAGATCAATTCCTAGCCTTGCGTCGATCTGGGAGTTTGGTTTGAGAATTTAAAGCATCCCACCAAGGCAGGCATTTCTGTATGTACATTTTCAATGTAGAGAGGGTTCTTTGAGCATCGACTAATGGAAAGAGACCTGTTTCACTAAGATTCCATCCCTTCTGTCCTTGGGTTAACGATAGACATTCTGTTGGCCCTGGACTCTGTCCCATCTGTTAACTTCTCACGGAAGAAAATCCACAGTTGGTTGTATCCCCCATGTTGAGATCAGCCACTCCAGGAGTCAGCTCCAGGCGTGATCAATGAAGCATTCTCTTGCTCTCTCCCTTTTTCGTTTTGTCCTCACACATTGATTTTGACCTTGACTCCTATGTATATAATGTATCATACTGCAGTCTCAGACACTGTTAAGGGTAGCTTTTTGTTTCTTCCTTTTCCCTTCCTTCTGTAGAAAGGTTCTGGCGTAAACGCCATTGACCTTGGATTTGTGTGCATTGGTAGTAATTGAACATATTAGAGTTACAGGTGGTTGTAAAGAAGCAGATTGGAGTCCTAGTTTTATTTTTTATATTGTAGCTTGTCTGATTTTTTCATTGCATAGTTGACTTTCTCCTGGGTTTTCTGATGACATCGTCTAGAGAGACACATTCCCGTGAAGCAGACACAAAACTGGATAAAGAATGATAGACAGGCACCACCCTGCTTTAACCAGATCCCATGGTAGAGCCATGTGTTCAGTAATAGACAGCACCATGGGACCACCAAAATGTGAAAGTTGGCCATGACATTGTTCTCAAAAGAGAAGAAAAATGAGGTCAGATACCTAGGCCGTGGTTCTAGAATCTTCAAGATGGCAGTCTCATGAAAAAAAAAATGGCATTCTAAAAACAGTTTGAGCAGATAGAGGTAAAACGACAAAAGAGCATTCCAAAATTCGGAAGGTCAGGCTTAAGGAGAAACACAACAAGCCAACCTACCATTTGTATATAGAGCACCTTCATGGAGATTGTGTCCTCTGAAGCTATAAGATCCCAACAACTCGGAATTCGTTGGAAGATGCTATCTACTTAAGTCAATTCTTTGTCAGGTTTCTGCCGTTCTACAAAAAAAGTGATTCTATGAGACTGGACAGGAAATGCCTTATGGAAACAGGAAGTCCAAGTGATTCGTGTACTAAGGAATGTAGGGGGAAAAATTGTGGGGAGGACAGTATTCAACTCTCTGTTTTTAAAGGGCACTCCATGAATTGATTTATTGTCTAAGAAAATAACAACTCAAGCAGGGAAATTGTTAAGGAAGTTTTCCAATGAAATATTTCCTTCATGTTCCTTTTTGATGTTTGCCTTGTTTTATAGGTTTACTCTGGTTAAACTAGTTAAAGGTTCATTGTATTAAGCCCCCTTTAATATGGATAATTCAAAACTGACCAAGAATTTGTGTTTTTTTTTAAATCCAAATATTTATATTTCTCAATCCAAGGCATTTTAGGGTACAGGATCCTGTTTCGAGAGAACCAGGCTGCCCAGCATTGACTTGTTCCAATGCACGTCATGGGCATGTGGTGTTTACATTTTGCTGTGATATTTAAAAAAAAAACACTTTAAAATATGATGGTATCTAAAGATACACTATCTTTTCTTTCTTTTTTTTTCTTTTTTAAAATATCAGCACCAAATTAAAACAACCTAAAGGAAATCTTGGAACCATAGAACATAGAATGAGTTTGCTATGTAATGAAAAGCCTAAAGATTTGACATCCCCCCAAAACAGAAAAGAATTTTCCTTTCACCAGTCTATTGTTGCATTCAGCCAATTGGTCATATTAAAGTGATATACCTGTCTTTTCTGGATAGAAAAGAACAATGGTACCACAAAATATGGCAATTAAAAAAAGTGTTTGTTTTTCCATCTTATGAGGAGTCATTTCCTGGAAAGCCTTTATCCTGTTTCAGAGGGGGATTGGGTGGGAAGAAGATAGTGGGTCTTTTAAGATACGTCTTCTTTAAGGACGACCCTGCTAGCAGAGAGACGTATAATTGATTTCCCAAGGTGTGTCTGTCTAACAACAACAACAATCAAGCTCTGTTTTATAGCATCATTTGGAGAGCGGCATCAGGTTGATTACCAGACTTGAGCTATGTTGAAATGGAAATTCAGTCAATTTCATCAAGAAACTACCTGGAACTAGTGAAAAAAGGAAAGCTGGGCTTGAATCCTTTTAGTTCTAATTGAGAAATGTCTCTTACATTTAAAATCAACTGTATTTATTATAATTTACACCCACATGGGTGAGATCATGTTTTGTGTTGTAAATATATCCTGTTTGTATGTACACCATTTGCCTTCTGTTATCAGTCTCTTTCTCAAATAAAGTTTTGTTTTTTATTTTAAAAGATTCCTTTTCAGACCTCTGCCTTTGTGTAAACTCAATCTCCTCAGTCTATTTCCTCACCAAATACTTCCAACACCTCTCAAGAACTTGTCCTGCTTTGTTGAAAAGAGCAATGACAACTTTCAACAGTGATTTTTTCATTATTTTAAATGAAATAAATATGAAATTTCAAAAGTTAGTCTGTATATATCAGTCATTATGAAATTACAAACAAGTCAATGCTTTGTATTCTTTTCCTAAAGAAACCTGCCTTTAAAGCCTGGAGACTTGCCTTCAAATACCGGCACTGTTCATAATTTTGTAATCTGGGACAGTCAGGCAAGAAATGTTTAGAAAACATTTAGTCCTTTCCAGCACTGTGCTGCTATTACAGATAAGGATGAAAACAGCCAAATCACCTCTCTGGATGTTGAACTAATGGTCTCTAAGGTCGAAACCAGTTTTGAATCTGTGATTCTGCGCTCAATTCAATCCAATTTAGCAAGCATTAGAAAATGCCGACTGTAGGCCAGGCACTGTGCTAGACCAAGAAATTAAAAAAAAAAATAGTTCCTGTCAAGAAGGAGCTTCCATTCTCCTGATATTTTATATAAAAAAATATACTGGAAGAATTATGATGAATTTGAATGAAAAAAGCTGACCATTCTCAAATTTTTTCAACTTCTAAAAACTAGGTTTTTTTTTTAAAGTGTCCAACCCAGTGCCCTACACATAGAAGGTCCTTGTTAAGCAAGTCAGTGGCTGAATAATGATGTTGTAGTAGTTGATATTGATGGTTACTTCCAGGATGGCAAGTCTTGCCAAGAATTATGGTGACTCCCTAAATCAAAGGTCAAAGGTCAAACTCCTTCTCCCAAGGACACTTTTTATTTGAATTTGACATCATTCCTAAATCAGTCACATTGTGGAACAAGCTACAGATCAAGGTGACATTCGTTCTCTTTCAGATACAGTAAGAGGATCACCTAAGTGTGGAAAGCCATCAACACCTGTGTTAATGGGCTTCATGCATTCACTCATTTATTCATTTAACAAACAGCTGCAAAACACCTGCTGTACACAAGATTGTGTGCTGGGGATGTCGAAATGTCACAGTGAAAGTCCCTGCCCTAGGAGAGCTGCATCTGGGTGGACGTACTCTGCACCTCCTACCAGGTGTGTGTGCACGTAGAATGTAGCTCAAATGAAATCTAAGCTAGAAGGAGCCTTAGCGGTCATCTGGTCTAATTCTCTCTTTTGGAGAGAATAAGTGACTTGTCCTAGGTCCCAGAGGAACATGTGGCAGGTCTAGATTTTAACCCAGGACCTCTGACTAAAGAGCCAGTGCTGTGCGATCTGGAGCATGATCTTTAACTTCTCATTGTCTCAGGAGACTCTCTAAGACTTATTATCTATTAGAGATAGTCTAGGAATTTTCCGTGATAATAAAATCACAGATTTCTACAACTGTTACCGTGTAACTCATACATAATTAATTATCTCTTTTCCGGTTATTCGTTGAACTTCAGTTACTTGGAGACCTATAAATTAGTGTCTCTTAAATCCAATAGACAAATAACCCATCCTTGGAAGGTTGCCTCAAGTGGTTTGCATTCATATTCTCTCTCTCTCTCTCTCTCTCTCTGTCTGTCTCTCTCACACACACACACACACACACACACACACACACACGCACACATACTATTATCTAAGATGATTGATTTCATATAATTTAAATTGAAATCCTAACAGTTGCAGTTTATAAGAGACTTTGAGGGGGGGTAGAAATGGAGTTTCCTACATACATTGTTCCTTGTTCCCTGATACTTTGAAAAATGCTGTTCCACTTTTATCGGTGCAGAGAGTTCTTTGAATGGGGATAAATCCACGTAGAATGAGAATTTCTGTGACTTTTTTTAAAAACAATAACTGTCCCCAAAGCAATGTGACTCAGGGTGATTTCCTAGGGTATGTGCTTTGAGGGGGTGAGCAGTGATTCATTGAGGCTGCCAGTGGGCAGACACAGTGGCTCCACCAGCTGGTGCTGAAAGGGATCTGAGGTTAATGTAAATCTATATATTTATAGACAGAAGGAGCCCATAGCCTCCTTCACCCCTAACTATCACCAAGCCAAGGGTTCAGACTGTTCCTTCTTCCTTTAAAACAGTTACTTGTTAGGCTTCCAAGGCTACCTTCCATATAAAAGTGGTCAGAATAAAAGGGATACATTCATTCTTCCTCCATTCAGTCACTAAAGTGATTTTCCTAAAGGGCAGGTCTGATCATGGCATCCCCCTACTCAGTAAACTCCAGTGGTTGTCTGTTGCCTCCAGGGTCAAATGCAAGATGTTCTGCTTGACATCCAAAGACCTTCATAACCCAGCCTCCTCCTGCCTTTCCAGTCTTCTTACCTTACACTCCAACATGAGTTCTTCAACCCAGTGATACTGGCCTCTTGACTATTCTATGAACAAGATACTCCATCTCGTGGCTCCAGACATTTTTCTGGCTGTTCCCCATGCCTGGAAAGCCCTTCCACCTC